TATCCAAGGAAAGTATTGATTAACAGAAAGTGCACAGTATTGGGGGTGACAGTACATCCTGAGGAAGGGCAGGAGTTCAGGCTGCTCGGGGGCCTCTTCTCGTCCACAGGCCCTGGCCCCCTCCCTCTTCCTGTTGCAGTGAGTTCACTGATGACCCCAGGGATATGTGAGTGTCCTGTGGCTGCTGTAACGAATGACCACAAGCTGGATGGCTTAAAACAACAGCAATGTATTCTCTTCCAGTCCCCAGGGGCGTTTCCGGATGTCTGAGGTCTGCTCTGAGCACAGGCACTCAGCTAAGTGGACCTTCCCCGGGCTAACTGAGTGGTCCCTTGGGGCTGCAGCATTCCTGGTTTCAGGCACCAAACTAACAAACTTCTGAAGAGTCCAAATCACCGTTAACTTGCCGATTAGGTGCGCTCAGAGGATCTAACGTGTAAACAGAAGTCCTTACACTTACAGTTCTTGAAACACTTGCCCATCTCCTGCCTCACCTGTGTCGTGCCTCCTTGTGTACAGACAATGCACCTGCAGCCCAGCCTGGTCGTTAACAAGTGGAGCATGCAAACAGAGCCTCCTGACTCTGAGAGCAGGCTGGGGGTGCTGATGGATGATGATTGGGGTGGGCGCGGGAGCCTACAGCCAGGGCAGGTACCATGCCTCCCCCAGGAGAGGAGGGCTGACTGAAACTTGAAGGACATGTAAAGTCGTTTGCTGAAGCTGGAAAGAGGGTGCCCAAGACAGAGAGGCTGTCCAGCAAGGCATGGAGGCAGGAGATCCTGCAGAAGGGTGAGCAGAAGGTTCTGATGTGTGATCTCAGGGAACTCTCCCCCTTCCCTCCCACCAAGACCCAGTCTCCTTGAGAGAGCTGGTTTGTGGCTGAAATTTACAAATTAGAGCTTCATTCTTTTGGCTTAAGCCAAACAGTAAATTTACTCTATACTCATATGCAAAATCCCCTGAATGGGCTGAGTTTCCTGCCCAGCCAGCCAGTTTGCTGGTTGGCATGTCTGATTCTTCTAAGGACAGGGTTAGCTCAGTGGATCAGGGATCAGGCATGGTTTGGGGGTGTAGGTGAAAAATGAGCCATCAGCATGTGGGGACAGGAGCAGAGCAGATGGACTGGGGTCCACAAACATCCCTCCTTTATAATGCCTATTTGGCCAGCCTTGAGCTAATCCTTGGCTTCCCTAATGGCTCAGAGAGTAAAGAATCTGCCTGCAATGTTGAGACCTGGAATAGATCCCTGGGTTGGGAAGATCCCCTAGAGGAGGACATGGCAACCCACTCCAGTATTCTTGCCTGAAGAATCCCCATGGACAGAGGAGCCTGGCGGGCTACAGTTCATGGGGTCAGAAAGAGTCAGATACAACTGAGCGGCTAAGTACAGCCCAGTGTGTTATATGTTTATACACCACATCTTCTTTGTCTGCTCATCTGTTGATGGACTTTTGGGTTGCTTCTGTATCCTGGCTATCGCAAATAATGCTGCTAGGAACATTGGGGTGCATGTATTTTTTTGAATTAGTGTTTTTCAGTTTGGGGGTATATATACCCAGGAGTAGAATTGCTTGACCTTATGATAGTTCTATTTTTATCTCTTTTGAGGAACCTTCATACTGTTTTCCACAATAGCTGCACCAGTTTGCATTCTCACCAACAGTATGCAAGAGTTCCTTTTTCTCCACATCCTCACCAATATTTGTTATTTGTGATCTTTTTGATAGCCATTCTGACAGATGTGAGGTAGTATCTCTCGCCTGTGGTTTTGATTTGTATTTCTCTGATGATAGTGATGTGGGGTGTCTTTTCATGTGCCTGTTGACCATCTGTGTGTCTTCACAAAAGTATCTATTCATGTCTTCTGCCCATTTTTAATTGTTTTATTTATTTATTTAGTTTTTGAGCTAAATGAGCTATTTATATAGTTTGGACATTAACTCCTTATTGGTTATATCAATTGCAAACATTTTCTCCCATTCAGTAGGTTGTCTTTTCATTTTGTCAGTGGTTTGCTCTGCAGAAGCTTTCACCCCCAGAACTGGGGGTTGGAGAGTAGTGAGAGGTTGAACAGTGGTGACAATGCTGGCTCCAGACCAGAAGCTGACTGGACATGGAAAAACCAGATCTCCGGTTCCGTGGGCCTGAAATGGGGTGCATGAAGGTCAAAATGGCAGTTCAGGGAGGCTGGGCCTTGTTCCAGTTGGGAGCAGACTGGGTGGGCAGAGACATTGAGCCTAGAGGTGTGAGGGGGGCAGGGGTGGAATGGGGTGTGGGAGACGCATTTTAACTGTGCACAACTTTCCTCCACATTGTGGACCTCAGGGTGAGCAATGGATCCAGAACCTTGTCTTGGTCTGAAAGACCATCATGGTGACAGTCAACTGCTCAGCGAGCATCGGCAGGAGACGTGGGGTGTCGGGTCCTCAGCCTCCTTCCCACCCAGGCTGCTGGCCTGGCTGGGCCATCTTTGTTCCCTGAGGTTGTCAGAAGAGAGCTGCCCTCGCTCATTGCCTCTGCCCTCTCTCTGTGGTCTTCGCAGAGTCTCGCCAGGGCAGCTCTCTGGGGTCTGGCGCCTAGGATCCAGAGTCCCTGCAAGACGGCCGTGCAGAGAGCCCCAAACAGGCAAAGTGTGTTCCCAGGAAAGAGGGCCTGGACGCCAGACATTCAGCTCTCAGTCATCTTTGTTCATGTTCTTTTAAAATTATAAAATTAATAGTAATGCTCCTAAAATGTCAAACAGTTCAGGAACTTCCCTGGCGGGGTCCAGTGGTTAAGACTTCGCCTGCCAATGCAGGGGGCGCAGGTTCGATCCCTGGTCCGGGAGCTAAGATCCTATGTGCCTCCTGGCCAAAAAACTGAAACATAAAACAGAGTGATAATTGTAACAGATTCAATAAAGTTTAAAAATGGTCCACCTCAAAATAATTTTTTAAAAAACAGTTAAAAAAAAAAAAAAGAAAGGCAGTTCTGAGGTAGATGAAGTTAGTGGGTTGGGCCTGTTCCAGTCTCCCTCTCTCCTTACCCCCAGCTCCCTGAAGGCGGCCACTGTCAGCCTGGGCTTGGTCCTTCACGCCCGCCCAGCCCCCAGGGTGGTTTCCGTTGACTGTCGGCTGAGGTAGAAAAACCTCCGGGAGTGTGGTGAGCCTCTATCTCTGCTGGACTCACATCCAGACCCTCGATTGCAGGGTCTGCAGCTCAGAGCCAGGGTCACCCCCAAATGCTGGGCGATCAGCCCAGCTCCAGTCTCTGGGGGCTCACCACATAGGAGTGACTCTGTGAATCCTGCTACTCAGGTACCCCTGACCCTCAGCCTGTCTGCAGAGGTAGGGGATGGAGTCTGGCTGGACTTAGCTCGGGGTGGGGGGCTTGGTCAGCTCCCAGCTTCCCTTGGTATCCTGTCTTCCTGTGAGGTCCCCATCCCTCTGCACCCATGGATGTGTGGCTCCTGGGTGTCCCACTGGCCTGGAAGGTCAGGAACGCAGAAAGACTGCATTAATGGGCAGGGCTCTTATTTATTTGGGTGTGACAAAGTATGTGAAAGGTCGTTGATGCCTGGGAAGCACCTGTCACTGGTGACGTCGTGTGCTATGATTGTGAGGACTGTCACCACCCCCTCTCCATGGCTTCACTGGGAGGTCTCTGTAGCTGCCACAGTAGGAATCAGTTCTGAGGATGGGGACCCTTGGGCTGGGGCAGCCAGGCTGCTCGCCCAAGCTGGGGTCTGTACCTAGAGTTGCCTGCAAAGATACTGACCTGTGATCACCTGGCCTGGCAGGTAGCAGGTGGCCCTCTGGGCTGAGGACATGTCCAGTGATTAAAGGTGACCATTTGTCCAGGACTTTTAAAGAAGAGAGGAAAGTATTTTTCATGGTATTAGAACTGTTTCCCAGTCCCAGCATTGTTATTTGGGGCGGTTCATTCTCTGCTATGGGTCTGTCCTATACAGTGAGATGTCATCAGTTTGCCTGGCCGGGCCCACTCGTTACCAGTAGCATCTCCACCTCTGCTCATGACCACCAAAAAGGTCTCCAGATGTTGCCAGATGGCCCCCAGGGGACAGACTGGCCCCTACTGAGAGCCCTGGCCTAGAGGACTCGATCGGGCTTCCAGCGAGCACCGCCTTGGCATCACGAGCTGCTTCTCGCTAGGGTGCAGTTTTCTTTGTTCCTTTTCCAAAAGGCTGACCTCATCCAGCTCATTTGTTTGTTTCGTTGACTCACCCAGCTCTAACCACAAGAGCCTTCCTACTTTGGGGGATCCCAAATGACTTATCATGGGACTCTGTACGTAAATCTAAAAGATTCCTGTCTGCTAAATTGGAGGCAGACACTTCTCTTTTAGCTCTGCTTGAGAAGTCCTTGTCTCAAGCATTCAAGGACATGTGGGGCTCCTACTGAAGATTTTACTGTGAGCACCCTTGCAGTTCAGTTTTCTGAAATCACCAAGCATTTTTCTCCCATTCATTTGGGTCTTAGCCCAGTGACTAGCAGATGATCTAAGGGCCAGAGCGGTCTGGAGTTGGCCAGTGCTTGGGAGATTTTCTTAAGGCCTCTGACCTAGGACTGGCTGGGGAGGAAGACAGAGGAGGAGCCAGGAGGGGGAGGGGGAGGATGAAGAGGAAGAAGGAGGAAGGAGAGACAGGTTCCAGATGGGCCCACCCACCCAGAGTCACACCCCACTGCTGTGCATCAGGATCCTTGGGCAAGGCCTGGCCTGTTGGGGGCTCCTCTTGAGGCCCTGAGAAAGCCACTGCCTTTGAGGTGGGGCTGCACAAAGCTCAATGTAGCCCTGAGGACTGATGCAATCCTGAGGTCAGAGACCACGCCTTCTACCCACGTTTGGTGAGCGAGGCTGTAACCCCGAGGAAGAAGGCTGGGTTTTGGCTGGTCCTCTTTTGGGCTCCTTTTCCTGCCTCACTGACTCCTTAGGGAAATGGGTTCTGGTTTCCAAGTGGGGGCTTTAGATCTTAACACCTGCCTTGCACTCGAAAACTCTAGTTATCGGAAGATCTCGTGCGCCCACAGCTCTCCTCTTGGGCGTCGGTACTTCTGTTCTGCAGTGGCTCCCAGAGGCTCGGCTCGATTGGCTGCCTCCGAAGCACGCAACTGAACTTGAACAGCAGTTGGGATGCCCAGGCCCGCCCCACTGGGGCCGCCTGTGGCCTCACATTCAGCCTGTGCCGAGAGCTCCATGCTTGCTGTTGACTTGCACTGGACTGGCCACAGAACAGAAGGGACCAGAAGCTAGATCTGGCTGCCAAGGGCTCTTCATCCTGGATGGCAGAACGCTAGCTGGCTGCACCAGATGCCACCAGCCCCGCCAACTGTGCCCATCCACCCCCGGTTAGCACATGAAGCCAGGACCTCCTCTCTCAAACCAGACAGTCAGTACTCCAGGTGCCCAGGGATCCTTCCTGAAGGGCTGGGACCGAGAGGGGTGAGTGGGTCTGTGTGCACTCAGCAGAGTTTCAGGGGTACCCTTTATTCCCTGGGACTGTTCTCCCTGCCTTCACCTGTGCCAGCTCTGAGTTTTCCGGATTCCAGCCTCCATGGTAGCCAGTCTGTCAGTGGCTGGCTGAAAACTACTTTCCCAGTATAGCCACCCACTGGGAAAGAGCAGCCTTGGAATTTGACCCTGACCACCCCCATGAAGTTCTTCCCAAGCTCCTGGTCCCACCTGGCTCCACCTCTACCCATCACCGGGGCACTGTTGGTGGGTATGGGGGCTGGTTTTTTCCTCTTTCCTCCTCCCTTCTTCCTCTTCCCTTTTGTCCTTTTCTCCACCAGCTGTAGATTTAGAATCCTGGTGACTCAGGAGGGATGTTCCAGTGCTTGATAGGCTGGGCGGGTGGAGGGGGTAGGTCACATGGTGGGGGCAGAGAGGGGAGGGGACCCCGGGTGCCAGCACCTCTCTGCAGGTGAATGCACACCTCTGATAGGCCTGGGCACTGGCAGCAGGCCCAGGCCCAGAGGTGGAGGCAAGCCCGGCAGGTTGGACAGGTGGAGCGAGTCCAGTGGCTTCGGGGCCACAGCTGAGGGTCCCGTCCCCAATCCTCCCTCAGCCCACAAACCAGGTAATCCATCTTTTTATCTTTTCTGCTGGCTTAGTTCACTGTCAACTTCAGGCTTGACAACCCCAACTTAAGACTTGGGGGAGGGAGGGAAAGCCTTTGAGGTTTTCGAGGGAAATCATGAGTTTGTTTGGAGAGCACTTGCCATGTTTGTATGTGGGAAACTTGGCCTTGGCCTCCAAAAAACACATCTAATGGTCTGGTCCTTGGTTCTGAAAAGCAGGTTTCTTGTGGAGCCTAGATTGTTCAGTCGCTCAGTCATGTCTGACTCTGCAGCCCCATGGACTATAGCCTGCCAGGCTCTTTTGTCCATGAGATTTCCCGACCCAGGAATAGAATCCGTGGTGGATTCTTTACCACTGAGCCAACACAGGAGCCCTTAAATCCTCCTTATGGAAAAGGAAAACAGCCCACCTAACCACAACAAAGCCTTCCACAGGCTCCTCATTCACAGTTACAAAAAAAAAAATCTCATTTCTGGACCTTGCCTTCCTGATTTGCCATTCAGCATCCAGGCTCTGTGGGCTTCCCAGGTGGTTCACAGGTAAACAGTCTGCCTGCTAATGCAGGATACGTGGGTTCAATCCTTGGGCTGGGAAGATCCCCTAGAGAAGGAAATGGCAACCCACTCCAGAGTTCTTGCCTGGTAAATCCCATGGGCAGAGGAGCCTGGCGCTCTATAGTTCATGGGGTCACAAAGAGTTGGACACGAGTTACTGACTAAACAACAGAGGATTTGGGCTGGGAGCTGCCTCACGCCGAGTCTCAACTCAGAAGCAGGAAGAGTGCTAGGCTCCTTCCAAAACTCAAACTTACATTACAGCCCTTGGGCAGAGTTTTATTTTGAAATTGTTTGAAGTTTCATGTCACCTCTCCTGCTAAGATGGACTAGACTTGTGAGAGCCAGTGTCCAGGATTTTCACCCACATTTTATTTAGCCCGGAAGTTGTCCCCTTAGTCTTTGGGGTGGGGGTAGGGGCAGTGGTTCTGGCTTGAGGGCAGGCAGGGAAGAGCACAGATCTGAAGAACAAAGCCAGGACTCCCAGCCGGAAACAGGGACTGGTTTTGTCCTGTTCGGCATCATTGAACTTACGCATTGCTTCCTTTTTGCAGTCCATGCCCTTCCCTATCTGCCAGTATCCGGGAACATCACCCAGGTGCTCAGAGCAGATGCCACGTTTGTCTCAAATTGCCCTTGCATTTTGCAGGGAGAGGACACAGAAGCTGCTTCTGCTGTTGAACCTTTTGTAACATGCTGTTAAGTGGTTTGCCCTTTTTTTTCATTTTTAATTCCAAGGTAATTTGTGGTGTTCAAATTGCTTAGATTATGGGATATATCTGTTAGGATGCCTTCTTCTGTAAGTAGGAGAAAACACTACTCAAAATGACAAATGATCACAACATTAAAATTTTTATAAAACATAAGTGCAGAGATAGAGGAGCTTTGTGATGGGTTATGTATCCAGGACTCAGCAAGGTCAAGGAGTTAAGAGTTTGTCCCTATTTCTGCTCTGCCATCCTCCACATACTGACTTGTCTCCCACCAGCTCACCACCTGCCTAGCTCTTCCTGGGGTCTCTTAATGTAAGTGAGGAGACTTTTCCCAATGCCCCCTGTCCCACCCCAGCCAATCAGTGGCAAGGAGGAGGGGGTTATTGTCATGGAATTCTTGAGGCCCATGTGACCAGGAGAGGAGGGTAGATAACCTGCATCAAATCAGGGTCTGTGAGCAGGTGGAGAGAAGGTATGAATTTCGGGCAGTATTGCCACATCAAAAATTTACATTTATTCAGATTTCTAACTGATTTGGGGGCAATAACTCTTGCTCCTAAAACATGTATTTTTTCCAATACACAGTTCTTAATGCAAGAGCAGTTTTAGGTAATCATGTTATCCACGCTTAGACTTTCACCTCCTAGGAGGCCTTCCTTAAACATCTGGGCCAGTGGTTTTTAGGAGTTTGAGCTTTTCTCCTTATATATATATATTTATTTATTTATTTATTTATTTATTTATTTTTGACTGTGCTAGGTCTCCATGGCTGCTTGGGCTTTTCTATAGCTGTGAGCAGGGGCTATTCTTTAGCTGTGGTGTGCAGGCTTCTCATTGTGGTAGCTTCTCTTGTTGTGGAGCACAGGCTGTAGGGTACAGGTTCAGTAGTTGTGGTGTGCAGGCTTAGTTGCTCCAAGGCATGTGGAATCTTCCCTGACCAAGGATCAAACCCATGTCTCCTGCATTGGCAGAGTGATTCTTAACCACTGGACCACCAGGGAAATCCTTCTTCCCACTTTTGACATCACTTTGAAATGCAAGAGGACACCTAAGGCTGGTATGAAATGTCTTGGATTCCTTGCAAAGCTTTGCAGAGGAACATGTGATGCAAAGCTGTGACTCTTTTTGAGTACCTTGTTTGTGCCACCAGGCCAGGCTCTTCCAAAGCCCTTGTTCCTGTGTTCAGAACCGCTCACAGTTATGATTTTGCACATCTGTGATTTCCTCCCCATCTCTCTCTCTCTCTCTCCAGGAGTCCCCCAAGACCCAGGACATCCTCCCATTGAGTCTTCAGCACCCAGTGCAAGTAATATGTTATGGGTGAGTTCATGAAGGGGACATTCGTGCTTTCTGAAAGATGCACTGTGGAATTAGGAAGATTTCCTTAGTGAATTTCCACATCTCCGTGGATGGAGAACGGGTCCTGCTTTCCCAGAAATGGTAATGTTCAAGAGCCTTGTTCTCAGAATCCATTTTTTCTTTAATGCTTAAAATTTAAGTGCTAGGAACTTAAAACACCCCTGGTGAAAATGACTTCTGGTTTTCTTGTATTCCTCCTGGTTCCCTGGGCTGGCAGCTCTAGCTCTATAGCAAGATGTATCGGGCTTGGGGCTCAAAAGGGCCTCTGTAAGAAGAAGAGAAGGGCTTCCCAGGTGACACTAGTGGCAAAGAGCCCGCCTGCCAATGCAGGAGACATGGATTTGATCCTTGGGTTGGGAAGATCCCCTGGAGGAGGGCATGGCAACCCACTCCAGTATTCTTGCCTGGAAAATCCCATGGACAGAGGAGCCTGGTGGTCTACAGTCCACAGGGTCGCAAAGAGCACGATATGATGGAAGCGACTTAGCACACACACAAGGAGAAGAGAAGTGAAGCATCATCACAGCTCTGAACGGAACTCCGGGCCTTTTAAACATCTTGTGTTAATGCAGCAGAAGCTTGCCTGGCAAGTGGACCAAAGGCCTTTCAGTAGAAAGGAACGTACATTGAAAAAGTATGTTCACTTGGGTCATGACTTTCCAGTAAAGTCTGACTCCATGAAAGACTGCTAACTTGGTGTGTTTTGTAAATTTCATGGAATACAGTCAGACTTGAGGCACTGACTGATTATTCACGCTAGCCTCCTCTCTCTGATGGAAAAGATTGTTCCTCAGGTCCCAGCCTCCTCTCTCTGGAAGATTGTCCTCTCCATCTGAAAGCCCTGACTGATCAGCCGTGGTGCCTGGGGTGGGGATGGGGGGAGAGGAGTGAGGCAGCCTCCCTAGGTAGACCTCTTCATCAGAGTTGCTGCCTAGATTCAGAAAATGGTGTTCTGCGTGGAAATCAGGGGGCGGGGGCTGCTTAGCAGCGGCTGGTGCATCTAGTTTGGCTTGGATACCCCCAGCCCCCCATCTTGGTTTTTGGAGCCATCTTTTTTTTTGGGGGGGGTGCTGCTCTGAGCAGCTTGTAGAGTCTTATTTCCCCCCCTCCACCAGGAATCGAACCCAGGCCTAGACATTGAAAGCTCTGAGTCCCAACTGCAGGGCCACCACGGAAGTCCTTGAGGCATCTTTTCTTCCCAGACTGTTTCTGAGCCTGAGGGTGGGCTGGACCCAGATCTGACAGGCCCCTCATCTCCATCCTTCCCACACTGTGACACCTGCTCTAGACCTCTGCCAGGGATGAAGACATGCCCTGTCCTCGTGAAATGCACAGCCCTCCCACCCTCGGTAGCGGCAGAGCCACACTCGGGACTGCAGCTGGAGAGCGCCCACACTGGCCAGGCGTGCCACTGCGCCTTGGTCTGCACGTAGTCATCTTCATGGTGGGAAGCCTGCCTCTGCTTCCAGTTTCCTGGGTCCTCTGCCTGGGCTGGCCTAGGCTGGGAGTCAAGGGAGGGGGAGACTCAGACCCCTCTTATCTCTGTGCTCACGTGAGGGCATGGTCACTGCAGGAAGTGCCTTTGGCCCCTTCCCAGACCTGCTGGATCAGAAGCTCCACTGTGGGCCTGGGAATCTGCCCCTTTCCAAGCTCCCAGGCAACTCTTACACACAGGAAGACCAGTGCTCTAACCTGATGAAAGTGTTCTGCCAGGACTTAAATTTAGGGTAAAATTGGACATATTTGGGGCATTTTCCTCACACTAAAAGATAACGCCTGGCTTGCTTTTATTTTATTTTGTTTAAATATTTATTTCTTTGGCTGCACTGGGTCTTAGTTGTGGCACGCAGGATCTCTGATCTTCACTGTAGCATGTGGCATCTTTAGTTGTGGCATGTGGGGTCTAATTCCCTGACCAGGGATCAAACCTGGGCCCCCTGCATTGGGAGTGAGGAGTTTTAGCCAGTGGACCACCAGAGAAGTCCCCTGCCTTGCTTTGTTAGAATACAGACATGTTCACCGGTTTGGGGGCAGAAGACTGAGGTAAGCAGTCATTCCATCAGCCCCACTGGACATTTTGTAGCCAAGAAAGGATGAGCCTGTGTGCCCTCCTCCTGCGGCATGTGTAGGATGCCCTCCCAGGGGCTTTCTCCTCTCCTTTCCCCAGCTCTGGCTGGGGAGCTGCCTTCTTCTGTACCCCCTTGCCTGCAACACAGGTTTCTGGGACTTCCCTTGCTGGGGTAGAGAACACCTGCTGCATATCCCCCCTCCCACACCTTGGGTGGTCTGCATCCAAAGCTGTGAGTCACGTGATCTTCAGGCCGCCTCTTTGTGATGGTCAGTTTGAGGCGTCTGCATGAGCAGGCTGTGGGACCCAGGAACCCAGCCAGACACTAGTCTAGGTGCTGCTGTGACATTTTGTAGGTGGGTCATCATCCACCATCAGTTGACTGAGTGAAGATCATCCAGGAGAGTTGGTGGGCCTCATCTAGTTAGTTGAAGCCCTTAAGAGTCTAGCTGGGACCCAAGAGGAAGAAATTCTGTGGTTGGATGGCAGTACCTGCTCTAGCCCAGGAGTCTCCAGCTTGCTAGGCTGCCCTGCAGACTTCAGCCTGGCCTAACAGCCCGGGGATCACATGAGCCCACTCCTTGACATAAATCTTCATCCATATCTCCTTTGGCAGAACTCCCATGGCTCCACTCTCTACACTGTGCCTGGGATCTGGGAGCAGTTGCTGCTGCTTTATTTTGTTGCTTGCTTTTTTGTTTTTGGCTGCGCTGGGTCTTTGTTGCAGGGCAAGGGCTTCTCTTGTTGCAGTGTTTGGGCTTAGCTGCCCCCCAAGTCATTGGGATCTTAGTTTCCTGCCCAGGGATCAAACCCACATCCCCTGCATTGCAAGGTGGATTCTCAACCACTGGACCACTAGGAAAGTCCCCATGAATTTTAAACTATTGTCATTTTCTAACTTCTCACCCAGGGAAGCGCTAGCTTGTTTTTCCTCTTGATGAGTGTGGGTCGTGGGCCAGCCCTGCTGAGATCTTTGCGATCTCAGCTTTCTCCTCCATCGTCTTTCTTCTGCATCGCCCCCCCCCCCATTTCTTTCTCTGCAGGTTTCAAGCAGAGGCAGGACAGGCCTGCCCCCTGTCATCGGCAGGGCCAGCTGTGAGTGTTTCTTTGGCAGTGTCTTAGCTGGTTGTTGTGAGTAATAATGCAGGAAGCAATCAGCAAGTATACTGCCCTAGAAGTGCTGCACGTTGTGGGCCCAAGAGGGAAGAAAGAGGCAAGACGCTCGAACCATCGTCGGATGCTGGGACAGGATGTCAGAGGCTTTGCCCTGCCGTAGCAGCTGGTAAGGGCTGCTGGAAGCAAGCTCTTGGGTCCCTGGAGCTGCCTGCTTATAACTGTTGGAGGAAAAAGGTGCACAGGCTGGGCCATGGATGGTTTCTGGCTGGGAGGAGATTGCACCTAGGAATGATAATTGCCAATGTTTATGGAGCACTTACTATGTATGAAGCCCTGCATCCTAGGGCTTATGTATTATCTCAGGAGCAAGAATCTGTTGTTACCCTGCCTTTCAGAGAAGAAACAGAAGTACCAAGGGCAAAAGTAACACAGAATGGGACTTCCCTGGTGGTACAGTGGTTAGGGCTCTGTGATTCCACTGCAGGGGGCACAAGTTTAATCCCTGGCTGGGCAACTAAGATCCTACAAGCCACATAGTGTAGCCAAAAATAATAATAATAATAAATTTTAAAAGTAACAGGATGCAGTTGATAGAAAGGGGGAGCCAAGCAATCTGGCTCTGAACTCTGTACTCCTAACCGCAGGCTCGTGTCCTTAGAGATGGGTCTGGGGTGGTGTCACTGACCTGTGGGGACCCCCTTTGACGAGTGAGTTGAAAGTGAACACCCTCTACTCTCTCTCTCCCTGCATGAAGCAAATTTCAAATGCAATCATATGCTTCGGAGGAGGTACCTGTGTGGGCATTAGGAGATGTGTCTGCCTTGGGGAGAGTTTTTCTTTTCATCTGAAGCCAGGCCCAGGAAGTTGATGGGGAGGAAAAGCTGGTGGTGTTTTCTGCGCTGGTGATGAGAAGGGTTGCTCCAGGGGAGCTCAGCTGAGACCAGAGTTTGGTTTTCCGGGTCCCACCAGTTCCACCTACCGATGCCAGCTTTGGGTCCAGCAAGCTGTTAGGCCTGCCAGATTACCATGGCAACAGGAACTGGATCCAAGCCACCAAAGGATGGAGAGCCAAGACAGCAGTGGCTTTTCCAAGTCTTGGATCACCAGGCATACCCCATGGCCTCCAGCAAGCCCAGGATAACCCAACAGCAAGCCAGGCCCTGTGTGTCCCTAGAGCCTGCCAAACCAGCTTGGGGTCGGTCCTTGCCTTCCTGCCATTGGTATCTAGTTGCTGACACTGAGTGGTGAGTTCCCCAGTTTACTGTCCCGCTGATTTTCCCCATTGCTTTCCAATCTCATGCTTAAAGGAACTCACCCGAATCTCAGAGGCAAAGCCACATGCCAGTGACTGACTCCTCTGACCCCACTGACTAAAGTTAAGACAAGCCTCCAGGGTCCATGATGCGATGGGTACTGTTGATGCAATCTGAGGACAGCACCTATTGTGACCAGCCCTCCCGCAGCCTCTGCGTGTTGTCTGCTGCTCCCGTTCCAGCCACTGCCCAGGGCACCTCCCCTGCTCGTGCCCACCCAACTGGACCTCATCTCTTAGTTCTGTCTTGTCATTCTTTGTGCTTCTAAATGCTAGAAGGGAGAGGAGACTATTTCCATTCTGACCACTTTGTAAGAGTCAGAAGGGCCTTAGAATGGTTTTCTGAGCTTTGAAATTGAACCTTGGCCTTGACACACTCTGCCTGATAGCCCCTCCTCCAGGCTAAGTGAGTCCTCTTTCTCTTATTGCTGGAGAGCAAAGCAGACAGCCAGATCAGTTCCCGTGGGAATGGCCCGGTCCTCCTCTGCTCAGCGGGCTGGCTTCAGAGAGGATCCCTTTGTCATGCACACTGCACTGGCCACGCCTGCGGCCGCCTGGCCACAGTTCCTCTCTGCTCCCCAGAGCCTGCAGCAGGGCCATTGCATGCCTGGGATGCCGGCTGCAGTGACAGAGCCAGCCCAGAGCCCTCACGGGAGTTTCTGACCAAGACAGCATTTGGGATCAATTATAAGCCAAAGTCTTTACATTTTTTCCCCCAGTTTTAGGCTGAAGTAAAGAATGCCTGCCATCTCCAACCACTGACTAATTTGGGGGCTTGAACTTCTCAAATAAAGGGACCAGACTCCTCTGTCCATGGAATTCTCCAGGCAAGAGTACTGGAGTGGGTTGCATTCTCTTCTCCAGGGGATCTTCCCAACCTAAGGATGGAACCATGGTCTCCTGCATTGCAGACGGATTCTTTACCACCTGAGCCACCAAGGAAGCCCAAAGGGACCACAGGTTTGGATTATGATTTAACTAGACTGTTAACTTGAGTTCAGGTAAAATCATTTGCAAAGTAACCTTTTCCTGTCTAGCTTTGCTTTTAGTTATGCCAGCAAGGGGCATCCCCTGGTGGCCCAGTGGTAAAGAATCCGCCTGCAGTGTAGGAGACCTGGGTTTGATCCCTGGGTTGGGAAGATTCCCCTGGAGAAGGGGATCAGGCAACCTACTCCAGTATTCTTGCCTGAAGAATTCCACGGACAGGGAAGCCTGGCAGGCTACAGTCCACGGGGTCACAAAGAGTCAGACACAACTTAGCGACTAACACATGCACAGTTATGTCAGCACAGACATAATCTGTTTCTCACATAGAGGTCACTTATCTGTGACCTGTCTCAGATAGAGGTCACCTATAGACATCCCTGGATGATGATTCAGGAAACAAACATCAGGTAGTCTCTGCTTCCATTTGGGTCTCAGATAAAACTGATGTCTTCATGGCAGTTGAATTTACCCCTGCAGTCTTTAGAGCAGATGGATAGAATATTTGTCATCTTTATATCTGATGGTAACAGAAGACATGTACTTGGATATTCATCTAGCTCCTTATATCCTCTCCTGTGGAGATGTGAGGGGTGGTGTTGGCTCCACGGGAGTGAGTTTAGAATAGACTGGGAAAGAGGGCTACTCCCCTGTCTCTGTCTGTCTCACCCATACAAACACATGCACGCACACACACATGCACGCATGCACATTGGCCTTGAATTTGGGGAGTTTGGGGTCCTTAAGTTGAGGCTGTCCAGCCCTAGGTCAGCGTGCACTTCTTCTTTGGGAACGAATGGGCAAATCCTAGTTTGTAACTGGTGGGTTGGAGAGAGGGACCAAGAACTTCATGACTAGACTTAAGTTTGGAGGCAGGTAGAGTTAAATGCAAGTTTTATGTTTTTGGGGGAAAGTATCTGTTCTTCTTGACTGAGGCAAAGTGGAGGTTAAAACATATATTTGGTTAAAATGTATATGCAGGTATTCCTCTGGTGGTCCAGTGGCTAAGACTCCGTGCTTCTAAGGCTGGAGGTGCAGGTTCGATCATGGTCGGGGAACTGGGATCCCACGTGACATGAGGCAAGGCCAAAAAACTAAAACAATTACTTAAAAAAAAAATCTATATATATATATATATGTCAGCCTATATATTTAATAAGCTCTGTGGATCAGTAATATCCATTTCCTAGTTTCAGTATTGTCCTGCAGTTACTGAGAGAAACTGACTCAAAGGTACGTAGGATCTCTCTATTTTTTTGTGTGTGCAATTTTCTATAAATCTATGGTTATTTCAAAATAAAAAGTTACAACATATATTTGACTAAATGCTGTATGGTGTCCTCGATTGGATCCTGGAACAGAAGAAAGACATGAATAGAGAAACTGGTGAAACCCAAGAAAGATCTTTTAACATTTACCAATGTAAATTTCTAAGTTTTGATAATGGTTGTGTAAAATGTTAACATTTAGAGGAAACTGAGTGAAGGATATGAATCTGTAAATCTAAAATTATTCCAGAATTTAGTTTATTAAAAACAAAAACATGTATATATATATATATATATGTATGTATGCATGCACACATATGTACTACATTTACATTTAAATACATCCATAAAACCAGTGCCCTTAAAAATATACTTTCTTTAGGTGAAGCATCAGATGGTGCCTCTGAGGTGAGGCAATAATTAAGGGCCCTTTCAATAAATAAACTGCAAGGTCATTTTGTTCCCTAATTTGTCTGTATGACCACAGGGACCCTACACAGCTCTTAAAACCCAATAGCAACCTGAATTCTCCCCTCTCTGAATCACACGTTAGGGAAAGTTCATTGTAGTACAACCTCATTTTCCAGATCAGAAACTGAGGCCCAGATAAGAACTGATGTAATTTAAATTGAGATTTCCTAGAACATTTAAAACCGAATTTCTTACTTTATCTGTTTGACCAGCCTGCACTTGGACATGTACAAAATAGTCTATAAACTGTAGCCTTTATACATTTAAGGGGGGGCAGGTGAGAAGGAAATAATCTTTGCCACTCTTTTCTGGGGATCTATCTCCCCAGGATCAGTGGTTAAAATTGGTTGATATGGTGGGGAATCTGGTCAAAATGAGAGCTTTAATTCAGCACCTAGTCCATGCTCTACACCAGACAGGGTGCTAGTAGGGATGCCCAAGGACTAGGGGACATTGGGGGAGTTTTGCTCCCCAGCATCCTTTTCTAGCAGCAGCTGCTGGATCCTTGGGAAAACCACTCACCCCACTAGATGCCGTCAGGGACTCCCCTGGTCAGTGTGAGTCATGAGCTCAGGGTGCAGATGAGATGTACGTGCAGTTTGCTGGTCCCAGTGCACACATTCAAAGGAGGATCCTGTCATTCTGGCCCCCTGGATCCCCCAAGCTCTCTGGTCCCATCCTGCCTAAGTATTTCTGCCATCTTAGGAGCTGCCTTGTTTTTATTAGACATGAGTTCACCAGAGTCCCGTTTATTGTTTGAAACTCACAAACTCTACATGATATGCCTACACAGAGGAAGGAGGGGTTCCCTTGCTCTTCATCCCCTGCATCTCTTTCTGAACATTACCTGGAGCCACTTTGGACAAATCCATCCTTTGCTGGAACTGGAATTGCCAAAGTAAACAGCCAAATACATAGGCCCTTGGACTCTTTAACTAAGAGGTGCCCTTTGGTGATCCTGTAGTAATTGTTTGGGCTGGTACCTCCTCACTCCATCCCCAGGATCCTGAGGCATCATTCCAAAACAGAGCATCAGGCTATAGTCTAATTTCCATAATGCACAAAAATCACAGATTATCCTGTCTCTAAATGACAAACTTTAAGGATTGTCTTTTTCTATTTGAAGTCACAGCTAAAACATGTAATCCAGATAGGAGAGAAGAGATGAAACAATCTCCCCCAGGTCACCGTCTGGAAGCTTCCACGAGGCTCAGATCCGAAGGGGCAGGTGGCTGATTCTTGGCGCTGGTGACAAGTCAGTGGCTCCTGGTGAGGTTGCTGTGCCCTGGACACTGGCCTTGCTCCTCCCTTTGCTGTTCCCTGAGAGCCAAGGCGGCTTCAGGGGGTGCAGTCTGTACAGTCCCACGGGACCCTGTGCTTTGCAGGGCCTGCATCTGGGCTGTCACCAATGGAACTTGTTAACGACTTTGGAACAAGGACCTGCAATTTCATTGTGCATCTGGCCCATGAATTGTGTAGCCACTTTTGTCTAACACCTGCTACAAGCCTTCAGGCTGGAGGTCACGAGGACTCTTGTCCCACGTCAAACTCATGACCCGGTTTGGGATCAGGACTTGGTGACCACTTCCTGAGACAGCCTGGCACAGAGCAGGTGCTGCAGCAAAAGATGGTGACAGACCTACCCAGAGAGTCGGGGCGAGGGAGGCTGGGTGGGGCCAGAATTCTCCTTCTGGCTGAATCCAGGGCCTCTCAGGGGGCACACACAAACACAGAACCCGGGTCTGGTGCTTGGGGCTGCCTCTGACAGTCATCAGAAACTGGTTCCTCAGAACTCAGGGAAGAATGTTTCTTGTTTTGTGACTTGTTTCTGCTCAGGGGTTGTATTACTTTGCTAGGGCTGCACTAACAAAGAACTGCAGAAAATCTGTCTTCTCACAGTTGCAGAGGCTGGAAGTCCAAGATCAAGGTGTCGGTAGGGCTGGTCCCATCTGAGGCCTGTCTCCTTGGTTCATGGATGGTCCTCCTCTCCCTGGGTCCTCACATGATCTGTGCCTGCCTGTGACCACACCTCCCCTTTTTATGAGGATGCCAGTCATATTGGATTAGAACCCACCCTAATGACCTCTAACCTGATTACCTCATTAAAGAACCTATCTCCAGGGACTTCCCTAGTGGTCCAGTGGGGTCCCAAGTTCAATTCCTGGTCAGGAAACTAGATCCCACCTGTCACAACTAACGTCAAAGATGCTGGCGCAACAACTAAGACCCAGTGCCGTCACATAGATAGATAAACGTGGGGTGGGGGGTGGAAACCCAGTCTCCAAATTCAGTCACATTCTGAAATCCTGAGGGTCAGGACTTCAACTATGGATTTGCAGAGTAGGGGCGGGATGGTGGTGACACAGTTCAGCTCATCACTGAGATTTTTCTGAACACTTCAAAGTCAAGTTTTAATAGCTTAGCAGTATCTATCCAGCCTAGAAATGATGGACTCTGGGGCCTGTTCTCTGTCCATAGGAAGAGGCAGCGAAAGACCCAGGAGCCAACAG